TGCCTCAGACCAGCTCTGGTCACAATTCAGAATTTGGGTACGTGCTGAAGCTCTAAAATTGCAAGACATCAACTATGAGCAAGCACAACAGAATTTCAGCAAGCTTCTGAATGAAGTTGGAAGTCAGCTGCTGAAAGAAGACGTGCTCCTTCTGGATAGTGAACCATGGTCTGAGAAGCGTCCAGCTTCAAAGGTGCAGCCAGAAGAAGATCGGACAATTCAAGCTGAAGCCAGTCAAGCTGAAGATGTTGCAGAAAGCTCTCAGAAGCTCCCTGCTTCTGATGTTTCTCAAGCTGCCTTGGACAGGCAAACTCTGGAAGATCTGAAGCTGAATGATATTCGTCTACAGCAAAGGATGGATGAAAATGATCAGAAGATGAAAGAAAGGATGGATGTGCAGGACAGCAAGATAGATACAGTAGTCAGCATGGTGCACAAGCAGACTGAGACTGCTGATCAGATTAAGGCAATGCTGGAGACTCTGTTCACACGCCTCCCTCCTCAACCTTAGTTTTTCATTCATGCTATTTTCATGTTTTCTTTGCATATCTTATGTATTGTTCTGTCTGGCTCTGACTATTTTAATATGACAAGTTTTTCTGCTTTAATTGTTTTAGCACATCACTTACACTTTTTGATTGCTGACAAAAAGGGGGAGAACAAGAATGATATTTTTCAATAACGGATTACTGAGACAAAAAGTCTCAAACATTCTAACTTTGATATTTTTGAATGTTTTCTTCTGTTTTTGCTTAAGTCTACAGGTACAAGAATGCTCTCTGACTCACTGAAGACTAAAGCTATGATACTTTGATCCAAAGCAAAGCTCTGATATTCTGATCTGAAGCTTTGCTCTAATATTCTGATCTAAAGCTTCTGATAGTCAAAGCTCTGATATTCTGATGATCAAAGAAAGACAATAAAGATCTGATCCTGAAGAACTCTTGGAATTAAAAAGGGAAGTAATAAATTCAGGGGGAGTATCTCTCAACTCTGATATCTCTTTATCCCTTATCTTTGATAACTTCTTACTCTGATACATCTTATCATTTAGTTATCTCTGATACTTTTTCACGTTATTTTCAATTAAAAATATCTAGTTTTTGTCATCATCAAAAAGGGGGAGATTGTTAGAACAAAGTTTGAATCTACTACCCTAAGTTTAAGTTTTGATGATAACAAAATGAAAGGATATATTAATTATGTGATTCATGTAAGAACTATTTGCTACCAAAAATATTACCTTCTGTTTTGCAGAAACTCTGATAGGTATCAGCAGGAGTACACTTAATCAGCATCAGAATATTGGTTATCAACATCAGCATCAGAAGTTGCTATATCAGAATACCAGAATCAGAAGAACAACTCACACGAATGCTAAAGCTTGATGAACAGAACTGCGCTCAACACTCTGATAAAGACAACAACAGTTCATCAGCACTTAAGCAGAGTCAGAATGAGGCAAAGCCAGAACACGCTTTAAGTAGCAACAGTACTGTGCATTCAAAGCGAATTATTACCAACGGCATCATTCCAGACAAGATCTGCTTAATAAGGAAAGTTTGTTAATGGCATTGAATTAAGATTATTGCTCCAACGTTCAACAATTTCAGTGCTATATAAACAAGACAATGAAGATTGAATTGGCTAATGCTCTACAACTATTTCCTCGCCTAAAAGCTAATCATCATCCTCTCATTCTCAGTTTGCTAAAAAGATCCATATTTCCTTACTCAATTACTTTTAGCAATCTAGTTTCAATAAGCTTAAGTTGTGTAATATCACAGTTGTGATAAACAGTTTTGTAGAAAACATTCACACACCTAGATTTCTCTTCCTTGTAAGAAAGTGTTTCCTTGACAAACCGGGTTGTGGTTTACATCAAGAAGGCTTTAGCAGTTGTTAAAGCAGTTTGTAATATTCAGTTGAATATAGTGGATTAAGACCTTGTTGGAGAGAGGCGAAATCACCTTGACGGATGGACTGGAGTAGTTTGAGATCAAACGAACCAGGATAAAAATATCGTGTTCATTACATTGATTTTCAGTTTTACAATTCAACCCCCCTTCTTGTGTTTTTCACTTCTTCACTCACGCTTCTCCAATGAAGGTTCATGGTATTCCTCCAAGTCAATGATACACCATATCCCAACGTTGACCAGGCCTGGAGCTTAATGGGCCAAAGAATTTCAGATTAACACCCCCAACATTACTATTCAACACAGGCCCATTCCTAAATTTTCTATTTTCTTATTTTTTTTCTTATTCTTTGCAATTTATTTATTTATTTTATTTTTTTTAAATCCACATTTTTCATAAAAATCCCAAAATCAAGAATTCACAAATTTAGAATTAGTTTTTTTTTATCAAATTTAATTTTTAAATTAATTAGTTTATTTAATTTAGGGTAACTTTAACTTATTTTTATAATTAAAAAATCAATTAGGAAACTAGGTTAATTTCTTGATGTGATTATTTTCTTTTTGTCAAATAAAAACATAAAAAATAGGCTAATTTAATTATTTTTCTTAATTAAAGTTAATTAGTAATTAGGTTTTTTTTATTTATTTCAATTATTACTTATTTTCTTAAATAACAAAAATGATTTAAAAAAATGATGTTTTCTTTAATCAACTGATATTAGATTTAGTCAAGGGTCAAAACCTTAATTTCTCTTGCATTTAATTTGCCGTGCACTTATTATTATTATTGACATTATTATTGTAACTGTTTCAAGGTTGTAATAGTTTTAATTAGGGTTTTAAATTCTGTATTTTTATTTCCCGTCAAGGAAAATTATGTAACTGTCAAAGCCATGTAATAGCTAAGTTTATTTCCGCTTTTTTGCTTTCAACAAATTATTAACTGTTAGATGTATTAATAGGATTGTATGGCAAGAATGCATGAAAAATTAAAACAGTTAGAAAACCCTAATGTGCAAAGACTAAATAACTGAAACAAATCACTCGCACATGTTCACTCCTAGGATTTACCTCACTTTGGTTGCCTTCGGTAAACAATCATTAAGCATAGGAGATTTTAGTGGTCGCCCTCCAGTCTAAAGAGATCAAAGTGTCTCATTCGAATGTTGTCTCGGAAATGTTGCCTCGGAAATATTGCCTCGGAAATGATCTTAAGACTCTAGGGTTACTACTAAGGTTTTCTAACTATTGCTTTAGTGATTGTACTTGTCCCTTTCAAATGTCCCTTACAAACTCCAACGACGGTGCTACCTACTCCTTAATAGTGAGCTAGCGCTGTCTAAAGGAAATAAAACTGAAACAATCTTTTTTTTCGAGTAGGTAGATGCTAGTAGGTACTTGTTCAAAACAAAACTTTTTTCACACAAACACCTTTAAAAAACAATTTTCAAAACAAAATTCATCACATCCTTAAGGACTGATACAAGGGTTATCACGAAGTAAAACATTTTCAAAACAATCACACACAAGAAATTTGAAAAATGAGCAAGTACCTAAGAGCCCGTAGATAACTACGGATAGAAATGGTGCTAACACCTTCCCTTTCTATAATCTATCCCCCGTACTCAAACATCTCGAAAAAGGTTTTTTCTGTTCTTTTTTCTTTTCCTGGTTGGATAAAATAAAAGTCGATGACGACTCTTGCTTACCGCGACATTTTGCGAACAAAAAACGTAAAATGCAAACCAGTATTAACAGTCGGTTTTGCCACCGTATCACAGAGGATCAATCTCCTATTGATGTTGTTAGATTGTCCTCCAAAGTCTGATTCTAATGACATAAGTCTTCCATAGCAGCACACACTTCTACCACAGCATCCTCATCGTATGTATTGTTGTTGGCCGGAGTTGCTACCTTATTGTTTACCATATTGGATGAAGAGGTGGAAGGTTGAAGATGTGAGTAGCAATCTATTTGTCTAAAGTAATGATGGCCTAAGTTAGTTTTAATAGGGCCCCATGGTGGGTACCCCTTTATGGTGTATAGTTGTTAGAAAATTTTAAGGTTATTATAGTGTTAAAGTAAACTCAAGCAAGAATGGTGAGAGACATTATATATGGTATATATGTTTTTTTTGCCTAGAGGCTCTGTATTTGTTTGCGAGAAATTAACATGTCACCCATCATTTTATACATGCCAACCCCCCCCCGACATGGCATAGTTGAACTCAATGATTTTCGTCGACAAAACCAACAACAATGATTGTATGCCGACTCGTGTACGAGAGTGGAGCTATAAGAAGTGAGAAAAATGTTATGTTAAGTCTCATGCAAATGGAAACAAATACGACACTATATTTAAAAGCAATAGCATAATCCATATCAAGAATCGACATTCATTTCTCCTTACCCTGGACACCCAAGTGTTTTACTTGTAACAAAGTCCTAACAACAGAGACAGTGTCATAGAACAACTTAAAATACAAGTCAGCGTGTTGATGGACTTGAGTATCCAACTGCTTCCGAACTGAATAACCTGCATCTTCCCCCATCCTAATGAAGATGAAATGCAATGGAAACCACAGTTTTCATCATCATCAATAATGTCATCGAAGTATGGATGAAAGAAAGCACGAAATTGCGACAATCTCCAACAGTGGTAGCCGGTACCTGCACGATTAAAATGTACATTCATCAACCACCTCATTCAACATATTTTAGGATGGTATAAGTAAAATCCTTACCTATTTGTCTTGTATGTGTAATCAAAAATTAACACCAGAGAAAACATTCAACAACTTCACAAAGTCAGGGTGTGTCCAGATGATATCAGCCACAATATTTAGATTTTCCCTATTTCTAGTCCAACACATGTATTTCTCTTGATGAATAAGGCTCAATAACATTTGCATTTCTATCATTGCACCTTTCTTTCCCATTCTGCATGTTGCTCTAGCTCGGTATACCTGGGCATTTACTCGTGAAATTTTCTAGATCTTTGTCTTTTAAAACAGACACGATGTACCTTAGTGTCATATTGTACTTCGTCATATCATTCACAAACGTTCTTTCATGATTTTTCAGACGGTCCAATATGTACCTTCCAAATCCTTATTTAGTCTATGATTATGCATCTCGCATATAACCATCACCTTTCGATCGATACTACTTGGAACAGATCTCAACCTAAATGGGCATCTAACCTTCATAGTATAATTGCCATCATAAGATTTCGCATATTCATTTTTCTTTTTGTAATTTTCTCCTCTGTCACAACCCATAATCAATTTATCTTTCCTCTCTCGCATTCCATTAGCAGTATCGGACTGAATTGTAACAACACCAATACCATATTTTTTCAAGTAGACTGTATCCATTATAGAATTTTATCTCGTGATTCAAAAATCTGACAATTACAATAACATTACAATAACATATAATTCATAAACTACATCAATTTACAAAAAAAAAAAACTTAATTGTGTAAATTAAATAGAAAACATATGGTATATGTGATGAAGAACTGCGTAAGATTAGTACATGAATCCGTAGAAGAAGCTGAAACTGTCGATTCAGGACCGCAAAGATATAAAACTTCATCTGCAGACATACCGAAATTTCAAGTATAACTGAAATTTCCGATACACCGAAAATTTGATATTCCCGATAAAGATTTTATACCATAAATTTACTAAATTTCTGGTACCTATAGAGACTTTTATAAAATTTACCATAAATTATATAATTTATGATAAATTGCAACCGAAAATTTCGAAATTACCACTATATCGCTACCGAAAATTTGTAGAATATAAAGAATTTCCGGTGTGCGACAAAAATCAGTACCGGAAATTTGCTAAGAGTACTGAAAATTTTGAAATTTATCCCTTTGACCAGTAGTAAATTTTTGTTAGATAAAAGTAAAAAATTTAGAATAAATATTTCGGGAATATTGAAAATTGGAGGGTAGCATGTATAATATGGGGGGTTGACAGGTTTCCTCTCTGTTTGCCTGGATGTATTAGTGTCATTTTGTTTGTTTATTTTTTAATCTAGATGTATTAGTTGTAATGCCTAATTAGAAAAGATCATTTTATTACTTTCCTATTGTTTCCCATAGGTTCCTTCCCTTGTAATCCTATTTGAATTATGTCATACAATAAATGTGGCGCTTCTTCAAAAATTATGAAAAATCTGTGAAATTATGCCACAAGTGGAGAAGACTTTCAGGGCGTTTCACATAGACAGGCATCTTCAACTAACATTAGTTTTTACATAACAATTTGTGCAAAAGTGTGTGAAACCTTTTAAAAAAACATAGGTTCGAATTTTGAAAATACCATTTCCTTATTTGCAGTTCCATCTCTACCTTGTGAAGGTCGCAAAAGAACCATCCTGATGAACCAAAACTAGCATCATAATCACTAGTAGTATAGCCCTCAATTATTACACATTTGGCTTAACATTCACATCCAAAAGAAGCACATAACATCAGATTTTCCTTGGCTCCACGAATACAGCTGTTGTCCTTCGAGGCACAGAAAAACAGCCAGAAGAAGCCTCATATTTTGAGCTCTTAACAAGGTAATCAGATGACATTTCCTACAATACAGTACACACCATAGAACTGAACACCTCATTTGAAATTATAAATGGACAAAATCTGACAGTTGAAGATGGAATTGATTGTACCTGAATGGGATGCAATTGAAGATTTTTTGATTGCATGGAAGGGCTAACAAATGATACCTCTTGTGGACTCGCGTTGACAACGACAACAATGTACGAATATCTGCTCAATACAATTGTCAACAAAATTAAAGCATGCTCTAGTCATCAAACAAAAAAATTGCAATATGTTTTAACGTACATGGGATCCAGCTGAGACAACCCAGGAAAACCATCATGACCATCTTCAATGCTCATCACTATGACCCCATGAGCCAACGATGGTCCAGTGTTGTGAAAGCGTACTCGATGCTGCAAACGACACCAGAAACTTTTTGTCTTGTGTACCAAAAATCCTAAGTTTTGTAATAGTAGCTGTTTTATTCATTAATGTTTTCTGTAACTTGTAGCTACTTTATTAGTAGAAACCAAGAACAATCAGAAAACAAACAAATCAAAGTACTGTCTTACTCAGGTCGATAGATACTAATTCCCAACTGTGATGATTATAATTATTAACATTTTAGTCATTAACTCTGCTGAATTTGATACTTCAGAATTCAAGTTAATTAATGTGAAGAAAATATGTAGACGCTGATAAAGAAAATTTATTAAGTTGACTGACTAAGAACTTCAGGAATTATGTACTAATTGATGTTCTATATAATGATGAAATTTAAAATGTCTTACCTGTATAGCATTTGCCGTCCTCAGGCGGAAAAGTGGTGAAGAATACCTTATACGCAACAGGCTTAAGAAATTGTCCATGGCAGCAAGGATGTCAGTCCTTTGAGGCCTGAAAGATGGGTCTGCCAGTCTTGGTTGGATTCTGAAAAGTCAAAGGATACTCAAGATCATCAAGTCGTAAACATATGCAGTACAAGTGGTAAACTAAGAAAATCATTGCCTTAATAACAGTTTCAACAATCCACCAAATCACAAGTTTTCTCAATATAATGTTGGATACGTTGTTGACCCATTGTTCTGGTGCAACATTTTATGAAGGCAAAAGGGAACAAGTACGTTGAGAAAATATCCATAGAAAATTGTAATAGTTGGTGTTACTAATATAGTGAATATAATACTTTTTAATAAAAAAATATTTATTCACTAATCAGTACCCTTGAGGCATTGCAGAGCCATTTGTTAAAAGGTTATAATGAAATGTTGAAATGCTTACAATGGCCAGCTTTTTTCATTTTTCTCCCGTGGAGGAAGACCAACACCCCAATTATTGGAATTGTATGTAAAGTCAAGCCTGAATTTGCGAGATTAAAAGTGAAGTTAGGTGCAGAAGGAAGCAAATTACTAAGTAACACTAAATCTGCAAAAATAACAGAGTAACCACTATAAAGATATAGATACTAATTTTGGCAAAGTTAAAACAGTAACAATGATAATTCATATGCATAGCAGAAGTTGATTATGTAGAGAACACCTGTTGAACCAATCCCCAGAATTGTATGAATCTCGATCCAGTGACTTCGAGCGGAGTATCTCATCACCAGAGTGAAAAAACGGTATGCCCTAAGAACAGAAATTCTTTAGTACCATAATAGTCACCCTATAAGAAATTGACAGTTACAATCTGCTGAGCAATCGGATTACAGTACTTTTGCAAGTTTATTAACTTCTTATCCTAGATTTTGTCAAATGAAAAAAAATTTACCCTAAATTGTCAAAAAAGAAAAACTTCTTATCCTAGATTGTGGCACTTACTGAAGCATCCAACATAAGTGCATCAGTATAAATAAAAGAAAGAGTTAAATATGTTTGTGGTCCTCCTAAATATCTCATATTTCACTTTTAATCCTTCAAAACATTTCCTTCAAAGAATGATCCTCATAAATTTTTTCATCCACATTTTTGGTCCCTCTTGCTAAAACTGTCGCTAAAATTGTCGCCAATTATGTCGCTAAGTTGCAAGAGGGACCAAAAGTGTGGGTAAAAATTTTAGGAGGACCCTTCTTTGAAGGAAATATTTTGAGAGGCTAAAAGTGAATTATGAGATGTTTAGAAGGACCAAAAACATATTTAACCCATAAAAGAAATACAAAATCTCTGATTTTATTAGTGAACTTCTTACCTGTGATAATGCTATAACACTTGTTGCCAAATAGTTTGTCCTGCATCTCTCAGCTACACCGATATCCATCGGAGTCTGAAAGAAAAGAACGATGTTGTACCAAAGACCCGGAATAAAATTGCATGAGAAAAGTAGAATGTTGAGAATATTGATCATATTGTATTACCTTTATGCTCACAATGTCAAAGAGGGTTTCATTATCATGAGCAGAAACATAATTGACCTGCAAAACAACTAAAGATGTTCAAAATGTTTTATCCCCCGACACATCGACATTGTTGATGAAGAGGCTCAATATTGATACTTCAAAATCTTGAAAATCATTGTCAAACTACAGAGCATATTTAGAGGAAGAAAAAGTGGGGCCAGGGGATATACAAGGGAATACACTTACCGTCTCTATGGGGGATGAGGCAAAAGCAACGGGTGTCCCACCATATGTTAATACTTCTGACCCTTTCACCTGAAATCATAAAGAGAAATTAGGCAAGATTTCTTAAAGAGTTTTCATTCCATCTACAGGTATAAACCTTTTGAAGATATCCCCTATTAGAGAAAATACACCTCCATTTTCATGCATGTGTGAAATGTGTCGACTTTCACCACCTAAGTTTCATACTTCAAGAACTATCTCCATTACTGACTCCACCATCATTGCTATCCCCTGTACGTACACCATTGTCATAACTTCCACCTTTCCCACTATCTACCACTGCCAATGCTACCATTCTTCATTAACACCTCAACCAGCACCTTTCTTACCACTTGTCAGCTGCCGTTGATACTTCCATAGCCGCATCTGGAGCATGGACAAATGTGGGGTGGTCCAACAGCAACACTGTCTAACGCTTAAAATGGGTTATCTAATCAACAACCAAACCTTATCCCACTGAGTGGGGTCGACTACATGGATCAACTTTTGCCATAATGTTCTATCTAGAGTGTGGCAAAATATGGGTGGCCCAACAACACATTTAGGATAAGCTGTAGTTACAGCTTATAATTTAGGTTTAAGATCTTAACCCTAAAAGTTAACTCAAGGGATAAGAATATCTAGATATTAACATTGTCACTATTGTTGCCACCATGCCAATCATTGAGGCTGACCACAGCAAACTCATAAGTCATGACTACCACTCTCTACCATATGGCAACTGCCATTGCTACCACTCCCCAGTTATGACCATTGACCACCATCTTACCATTGGCCCTACCTCTGCCTGAGCCCATAAGCTACTTTCCCAAGAGTCATCCATTTTCAGCAGAGTAAAATAATAACAATATTAAATTATTTATACCTCAATTTTTAAATATGAATTTTTCCTAAAAAAGAAAGCACACTAGGTCATACATTGATAAAATAAAATAAGAATTAAATCCTAATTTTAATAATACTTCACAATTAGTAGAGCAATTCAATTAATCACATGTTAAAATTTGTGATCCGATATCAAATGAAACAGAGCCATGGTGTTTTTTTAAACAGTATGCACAGAGCACATTTAACTCCAATAGACGTAGCAGGTGGAGCAATGTCAATACCTCTTCTCCTTTGGAATTGGTTAGCACAAAATCTTGCAAGTTTCCAGCCATTCCAATCTAGAAAACATGAAAGACCACGAATGACTTGTATACATCAAATTTTGTTTATACTGAATAATATCAAATTGATCTGAGTTACAAGGACACTAACTCCCTAAGAGGGATGGGTGAAAGAGAAAGTAGGAGAAACAGTAAATTGTTAACTTTATATGACCAAAAGTTGTCCCGTCAAAAGCATATGCATACTACATATGAAATATATGATACTTGATAAGACTTGTAGCTGCTACACTACCAAGAATCCATCTTAAGGGGCTTTTTAAGTGAGTTAATAAATAGTATAAGTTCTAATTATTTTGAAGTTAAGTATATGAGAAGCCAAAGAAGTGAATTTCAACTATGAAATCACGTCAAAATATTTTGAGCTAATTTTCATCCAAAAATTTGTGTAGAGAATTTTCTAACCATCTCCCCTGTTCTTAATGCTAACTAATCAGATAGAAGTCTAAAGTGAAACAACTATTAAAAAACTGAAACAAATAAAGAATGGATGTGAGTCAAAAACATATTACATCAAAAATTTACATGAAAATGCAACCAGGAAAATATATACTTTGCCAGCAGGCACCGCAATATTGAATAATTCCAACAGTCTGTTTTAGTATTTTTAACTTAAAAGTATAATACAAAACTTCGTAAAGCCAAAACCTGGATGTGATCCATTGAAGCAGCAAGCATGGATTTCATATTAGCTTCTGTTCCGTGATCATGGCCATTAGGCTGCAGAAATAGGATGAAACTCAACACTCAAGTTTTCAAATTAACATTGTATGCAAGCAGTAAAAGGGATTTCTAAGCATATTTTTCCAGATGTTAACTTGTGGCAACAAATCTCATTAGAATCATGCTAGTAGAGCCAAAGATGTTTATTATGAAGTGATTAATTGGTAAGTAATAGTTAGGAATGGATCCGTAAAACATCTAAGGAAGTGGCCAAAAATATACATTGACATATGTGTGCGTATGTGTGTGCGCGTGTGCGTGCGTGTGCACGTGTATGGGCGTACGTGCGCGTCCGCGCATGTGTGGGCATGTGTA